CGAGAAGCACGTGGGTCTCTAGCACAAGGCTTGACGGGAAGCCTGGCCCCTTATGCATCCTCTGCGGTTCCCTTCAGGAACTACATCCAAAGAATGCCTGGGAGGCGAGGGCTGTAGCCATAGATTCCTGTTATGAATTACAGGCGGAACATCAGAATGTGGCACTGGCTGAGGGTTCAAGTATCTTCTAGGGAGGTGTGTTGACCCGTTTTCTCTCTCAAAACCATCCTGAAAGGATGTTTGAAACCTCTGAAACTGCGTCAATCAACGCACGAGATCGATCTCAGAAGACAACTCCCCAGACTTAGTCACAGAAGGCCTACATTTGCATGGTGTCGGAGAAACTTGTTTGAAAACCGGAAATCCGTCAACTAGTCAAGACTGCACGCTGGCTGCAAATCACCGGGCCAGGGAAACCACCATTTAACCAATCCAACCGGATGTCCATTTCTCTAGAAGCCCCCATCTCTTGGAATTTTCGGGAAACCACCAGGGACAACAGCTTTAAAGAAAAAAACACCCGGCGCACCAAAAAGGGCCGGCTCCCCTGCGCATCTTCCGCTCACCTGCGATCGAGTGGCTGCAGCGCCCCCAGCATCTGCTTCGTGATGGTGGCCACCTGCCCCGTGCCCGGGGAGTCGTAGTACTTCTCCCCGGTGAACTCGTCGTCCCAGCGCGCCTCGATCCTCAGCGAGGCGCACGAAGCACGAAGCATGCGGACGCAGAAAAGGGCGGCGGGAGGGGTTTTGCGCGGAATGAAATTCATGAATGGAAATTCATGAGGTCATTGGGGACCATAGAGGGAAACTGTCCAAACCAGGCTTCCCATGTCATCCCTTCACTGCGGTAGACGAAGGTAGATGTTCGTTGGGAAAACCAGGCAATACCGCCGATTTTTGGCGTGTTCAACGGCGTTGTCTCAAACAAGACCCCCCCCCCCGCATGAAAAGCACGGGCTTGCGACAAAATCACATCAATATGGAACCAGGTCTAACAAATCACCCTACATGCTTGAGTGATTATCTGACAAGGGGTGTCGATTTGTTGAGTCCAGTTTCGAAGCAGACAACACCGGGGGGTTCCTTCCAAGAAAGCCAAATGACTCCAATTCTTGGGAAAAAAGAATTTGAATGTCTTCTTGTCCATCATAATTTGTAAAGCGACAAGATGCGATGTGGGTGTGGGTCCAAATTGAACCACCAGGAATTGGACCGCTGATTTTGGTCCATGTTTCCACTTACCAGGTTCCATTTTGGGAACCTATGTTTGACCCACAGCCATGTAAGATGCTACCAATTGTTGGCCCGGCAAACCCCCAGACCTCCAGCGGCCACGGAAAAAACGCCGCCCTCTTTTTCGCTTGTGAACATGCTCGACGGGTCACCTCCTGCAGGATCAGCTTCCGTACCCTTTTTTCTGTAGTCTACTCTTAGTAGGGGAACCCTCCGCCAAAACAGGAACGGTAAAGGGCACTGGGGGACCTAGAACCACTTTTCAGGGGCTTCGCAACCCTGAAACTTCCCCATCGGCCAAAACCCTCCGCCAGCGGACAACCCCACCCCGAAAGAGCCTTGCAGCACTCCAGGACCCCCGGCCATTGCTGCAGGTCCCCGCCGGAGCAGAGGTCCAGCAGGAGGTGCATCTCCTAAGACCCGGCGCGACTTCTTCGCCCGCGAGAAGGGACATCACCCGGAGGGGTTCACTCGGGCTGAAAAGGCCATCCTGTGGAACCTCCTAAAACCTGCTCACAGCGGAATGCCTTTTTGTACCAACGAAAAGAGAAAGGAAGACCAGTAACTCCGGGAGTGAGGCACCCTTTCCTTGTTGGTGGAAGACGAAGTGAAACCCTTCCACAAAAAGAAAAGATTAGAAGGAAACAATTGACACCCACTGGGCAGGAAAGGGGTCTGCAGCTAAGTCTCCGCCTTCTCCACGATAACCCGGTGCAGAACGCAGATGTGGGCGTGCTCCAAGGGAGCCATCATCTTGACCTGTACTTTTGATGGGCCGAGCTCCCAAAAGCAAGCCGCCATTCAGGCATCTCTTGGCTCGAAGGGGTCACCAGGGGGGGAGGGGGAAGCGGAGGGTGTGTGTGTGTGTGTGTTGTTTTTGAGGTTGCCCCCTTTGTTGATTGAAGGGAACCCAAAAGGTCTACCACGATTTACGGGAGTTCCCTAAACAGTCGAACCAGCATGGTTGCCTTACTTTGCAATAAGGGAAACCTAACTTCTCCAAGTATTTGGGGTATCCTGTCAATTTGCCTGGCTTCCCTTGTTGGCTTGAGCGCTCGCCTGCTTGCTCCCAACCATTCCAAGGATCTGGCCAAAGTTCCATATGATCAGCTGGATAGGGAACCTTCAGTCAAGGACCATCTTTACATGTGAGCTCGGTTTACCTGGCTTGAAGGGGTACTAAGAACCAGCAAGCTTACTTGAATGGCCGTACTTAGTAACTTAGTTGGTTCCAGGGCTTCGTCCCACTTACACTGCTAACCTGCAGATCCAGTAGGCCAAAAATCCACGGTCCACCTCGGATTCAACCATCTGGTAGACACGGCGCTTTGACGCGGGGGGGGGGGGGTGAAAAGCAAGTCCAGAAAAAACGGACTCAAAAGAAAAGGTTCGGCCCCAAAAGCAAAACCGCTTGCTAGCTTTTTTAAATGTGACATCCCTATCAGTCAATGGGTGATTAATCAATCCTGGATTCAAATCGATTGAGACCATGAAACGAACTGCTTCGAATGGCCACACAACTGGACGGGAAACAAAGGACCAGCGGACAATCGGAAAACATGGATGGAAAACCGGGTTATACAGGCCAAAACAACGGAAAAACGGAAATCACCGGTTTCAGGCCACAAAGCTAACACCTTTTAAAAAAAAATAAAATGGCCAAACTCCCAAAAAAAAAAGCCCACGTGGGACTCCATGGTCGTGGCGGCGTGGCGCAGCCACCCCCCGACTCCCCCGACTCCCCCGACTCCCCCGACTCCGCCTCATCATGCTCCGTGGAGGGCACCGTCTTGGCGGCGCGGCGCCGGCTCTTCGCCGTTTTGGACCTCACCTCGCGCACCACGCCGTAGGTGCCGTTGCCCAAGGCTTGGACGAACTCGAACTCCTGGCAACTTCGCTCGGCCAAAAGGCGGGCAAGGGGCGACGGGTAAAACGGGCGATCACTGGAATCTAGATTCCCCTTTTGGGTGGTTCAGACATCAGTGAGCGTGTGCGTGTGCTTATGAGGCTTGGTACCCTGGTTTACCTTGGTTTAAAGGGAAACCAAACGGAAGACACAAAGCGATTTTTTCTTTGGGGCGGGGAGGGGGTACCCAACCACATTTTCTGACCGGGGGCCCGGTCGGTTCTGCGCCATGCTTGGCAGGTTCACTCCAAACTTCTGGACATTTGGGTCGTCAATTCGTCTGACAAAAGTGTTTAGTGGGTCCCACACCCAAGGGGCCACTGCAGCGTTGGCAGGTGACACTTCCAAACACAGAAGGGTGCAACAAAGCAGCCTTTAAAGTGGGGGAGGGGGGGAGGGGGGCGCGCTATGCACTTCCATGTGTTTTGTGGGATATGTTTGAAGCTTGGGGTTCAATTGAGCGCTTGAGGGGGGGGGTACCCTCCTTGCAAGATTCAGGAAAAAAAGCGCAATGAGTCTAGATGAGTTCTACCATTTGTTTTGCCAATGTCCACGTTGAGTGAAGCTTAAGATGCAAAATCAGTTGAAAAGAGGTCCCAGCAGAAGGTTCATATAATATGTCTTAAACTGTCCAACCGTGGCTTAAACTGCCATTCCAACAGCCTCCATGCGACTGTCAAAAGACCGCCGAGTTGGGTTTGGTTGAAACACCTCTGTCGCACCTGACGTTCCTCTCCTCCCAGAGACTGCCCTCCGCCGTCAGAGACTCCGACGTGCGGGGCACTTTCGAGTTGCGGGAAGACAGCCGCGACACAACGTCCAGCATCGCGGCAAAACGCAATTCAGCGAGCGGCGAGAAGCAGCGGCTTAGAAAGCCATGGGCTCTCTGGCGTGCCACGTGCCGCAAGCTGAGACTGGTGTCTTGAGGAACCAAATGCATTGTTCAACCAACCTGTGTAGTAGACTATTTTTCCTTGTGGTTTATTGGCATGTATTGCTCCAACAAAGGGGCAATGTTTGGTCAACCAGAACGCCCGGATTCCGTGTCGTCAACTCAATCACTGCTGCGCAGCTTGGAAAGGTCAGCTTGACAAATGGATGCCGAGTCCTTTCTGTGATACCATTGTGGCTGATTCCCATGATTTGCTCTTTCAAGAAGTCTTGGGATGGCGTTGGTCTGAACACTTCGTTGAACGGCATGACCAGTTCACTCTAGAAGTCTTGGGATGCCGTTGGTATGAGATGTGGACCCGTCCCAGAACGAGTTGATGGCTTTTCCATAAAAATGTCATGGTTCGACCTCAGTGCCATCGGGTGCACCCTGTGCCCCTGCCCGGTCGATTCTGCTCAAGCCAGAGAAAGGCATGGACGCATGGACACATGGTGTCAAGATATGAGCCACGGCATCCTCCCCTGGCTTTCACGGGAAAATGGCGCGGCTCACCGCCTGTCTGCCTCCCAAACGGACCACGGACCGCTGCACAGTTGACGAACCTGTGGCAGCATGGGCATGCCGTAGATGTCAATGCGTTCTTGTCGCAAGATTCATCCTGCGGTGAATCAAACAGGAGACAACTCCTAAGAATTATCTGCATCGCGTGGCCGGTGATACGATCTTTGGATGGTCTTCCTGTATCTACAAAAATGAGGTGTAAAACGATGGCCCATGACGAACCACCACCATATTCACTAGATTACATGAACGACATGTACGTGTATGTATTCATATGTATACATGCTATATATAATACGTCTTTCACATATACATAAATTGCATGTGGAAATTGCACTATGGGCATGTCATAATGTGGTACTTGATGTGCAAATCATTTTCACCAACCACCAGCCGCCCCACAATCCGCCTGCAAAGCGGAAATGGATATGCTCCTCCCATTGAGGCACGTCCTGCAGGCCTTCCAAGTTGGCCTAGCGCGGCCAAAAGCGGTGGGGAAGCGGGGCAGTTGTCAAATAGGTGTCTCAATGAATCGGGGAACCCAAAATGGTGGTTCTCCTTTTTGGTGTCCCTTTCAAACAAACACAAAATGGGCACCCTCCAAAAAAGACATGCCCAAATGAAAGTCACAGAAACGCGAAGGCACACAATTTGGCTTCTTCGGAAATTCAAGGCTCCCACTCCCTTTTCGAAAACCTCAAAAGCCCGTACACCCAGTGAACATCCCCACTACAATAAAAATGGGTGGTGCACCTACCCCAAAATGGCACCATTTGTTTTGACCCACCGCCATGTTGATCTGATGAACCTTGAACACCCCGAAGTCGGAAGTGAAGGGCACGCCGCCGCATAAAAGAATGACTGCAAGCTAACAATGATGGGTAATACTTGTTCGTGGCACCCCAAGAAGTGGGTCTCAAAAAGGGGTGGCTACTTTTTGAGGGAGGATCCAGCTTAAATCATGAAACCAACATAGGGTGAATATTTTGCCATCTACTTTCACCAAACTGCAAATGGTCCGCAAGCTAACTCAGAAACCCAGTTCTCACTGAACCCCAGCAACACCCTCTGCAAACTCTTCTGCCAACCCCCTCTGCAAGCCCCTTTGTCAACCTCTAGCCCCTCTGCAACCCTCAGTAATCCCTTGCATACAGGATCACCCGAGTCCAACCCCTTTGCTTGGCCCGCGTCTGGGGCGCACAGAAAGAATACGTTTTGATTCTGTGTCATACTTAGTGTACCCCCAAAAAATATGTGTATAAAGAAAAGAAAGACTTTGAAGGAGCAAGCGGTCAAAGCCCTGTACCCTTGAACATGAAAATAGGTGGTACATGGGTGTTCATCCGCCCCAAAATGGAGGCATAGGTTATGACCCACGGCCAAGTCGGAGAGACCGAGCACTTTAAGTCGCGCCGGCGCGGCGTAGCCCACTGTCCCGATGGAAGCGTCTCTCGGCTCCTTCGCCGGCAGCAAAGATTTCGCCTGAGAGCGAGGGAGGGAGGGAGCCAGGGACGGGGAGGGACAGATTGGTGCGCGTCACACGTTTCCGCGTCTTTTCTGATGGTCGAGGCGAAATCATTCGTGGCATGGACCAGGAGGACTTGAAACCACCACCCCGACTAGAAATCACTGTCAAACAAATGACCGCTGTTGAAGAGCAAAGTGCCCTTTGGGACATTGCCTTGCAAGTAGAGCTGTTAGGGCTGATTTCTGCCAAAAAAGTGAAAAAACACCGGGAAAAAAAAAGAAGGAATTCGGTTGTCCTGTTGGTATCCCCAAAAAGGTACCGAGCCTTAGAAAAACAAGCCGCACCGATATGGGCAACAGAGAATCCGCTCACCACCATGAAGACCCGACAACACTGCCACAAACAAACCAACAGGGGCACAAGCTGCACTCCCCCCATCCAAGCGTCTTCACAAAATGACAATATTCAAAACTGGAATGAAGGAACCCCTTAGTTACCCTCCCAGGAACTCCACAGACAATCACTCGACTAGTTGAACACATGCAGCACGGCGTGGCCTTGGGAAAGAGCGCCTCCGCCTGACGAGACAGGTCGAGGGCAAGCAGCGACCCCGACTTGAACCGTCCCTTGTGGTGTTTCCTTTGTTCGGGAGTCGATGGGTTCATTCCATTTCACATTCCTTACCAAGCGCACCAGCAAGAAAGGGATTCAAGGATCTTGGGAGAATTGGAACACACACTGACCGGAGCAGACTGAGTGGGTGAGTCGCTTTTAGCTTCGAGCATTCGAAGTCGGGTAGAAGAATTGGCCAAAACTCGTCTGTTCCAGAAGGGAGTCTGGAAATCGGCTGCGGCACAAGTCATGTCAGAATGACCAAAATGAGAAGGTTGTGCCTTTCAATGGGACACCCCAAAAAAACCTGTTTGGTTTCAACAGCTTGCATCTAGGGCATCGTCCAAAAGGGGGTCGCCAATTCAGGGGAGGCGCACAGACTTTTGGGGGATGGCGAGAACCCCCCGAAGGAGCTTGCAATGGTTCTCTAAATCCAAGGCAAAAGATGCCCATGACCATGGTGTAATTCATGCAATCGGGAATGAGAATTAACCAACCACTGAATTAAGTCATGTCGTGTTGCGTCAAGTTTGCTGCATATCGATTCATGTCATATCATTCAATTCAGCCAAGTCTTTTCTCAGGCCTGCCTGCGGCTGCTTCAAGCGGCAAACCAAACGAACAGCTTTGCGGCCTCCTTTCATTTGAGACAAACCCCCGGTTTGGTCGAGTACATGTCCCGCATGAAGGTCCGGGGTGTCGTCTTTCTTCACGGCGTTTAGCAAGCGAATGGTTTAATGAGGCCCGCTAGGGATCAACTCCCGCAAAAAAAAGGAGAAGTTCCCCCCCCATTGGGGCGGCATGGGAAAAGCCCCTTTTGTCTTTGTCTCTTGAGGATTTGCTCTGGAGTCTGGATGAGTCTGATGGTTTGCGATACCAGGCTGCAAACCATGTAATTACTTCTGAGAGGCATCACTGCGTGTGTCTTTGGCTTCGCCTGGTCATTTAAGCCCAGAAAAGCTGGCATCCTCAAACAAAGACACACCCGACCCCGCCCTTGGGCCTCCCACAATGACCACCCCACTTGCTATGAGTGGTTGCTGTCCCTAAGTAAGATTTCCCTTACACAAAAACCGGCTTCGGGGACATATTCACTGAGGATATGAACCACTTCAGTGGGGCAACGGCACCGCCCCGGGAACCGCCTCGCCTGTTTCACCAGCGCCAGCGCACTGGAGACGTCCGAGCCCCGCAGCCCCTGCGCCAAGCGATGCATCGCTCGATGAGTAGGAGGAGGGTCTGGCAAACTATGGGAAACTACAACAACTTGCTGCTGCGATAGCCAGGGAATGTCGTTGGTTGTTTGAACCGGTTTTGGCGCAAATGTCCCGAAGAAAGGAAAAACCATAGGGGATGGTCTATAGAAGTCAGACCCTCCTGAGAATCAGCAAGAGAACTATCGTTCTCTTGCGGTGTCCTTTCGAGGCAATACAAAAATTGTGAGCAATGTGGCAGTGGTTCTTCCTCCTCCAAATTCCTTGACCTCGTTAGTGAAGAGTCTGAGTCACGAAGAACGACGGTTGAAGCCAACCACAGGTGCTGCAAGCAAAGTCCAAACCCTCCAGCTGTTTTCTTCATTGCATGTGGCCCCCTTACAGAATGTGTAGTGTCATACTCAGAAAAGCCGGTTTTGCGCGACCAAGAGAAGGGGTGTGTAGAGCCTCCGGGCATCATTTGCCAACAAAAAAAACACCACCATGACTCAGCAGCCTCACCTACATCTATCCGCCGGTAGCCATTCTGGGTGGCAAATACTCCCTACTCAGTGATTCGCTTAATTCGCATTTGCCAACTGAGAAGTCCTTGAATGCTGGGGTCGCAAAGGCGACACTCTCCAATGACCCGTCCAGTGGTGAAAAAACAAAAAGAACCACAAAAGAGACTGCAAGAACCCGCCCCCCGCCCCCAAAACGGCCATTGAATGAACCCTAGACACCCGCCCATGTTTGTTCCTTCGCTTTCGGCCCGTGCGACTGGTGCTCGTCTGCCAGTCTGCCAGTCGGGGGGGCAGGCAGACGCCATGAGGACCAACCTAAACGATGCTCTGAGTCAAAGCGAGGGATTGCCAACAGGATATGTGTCGCAATCAGGGGCCCAAAATGGATTTCCGCTGTCCTTTTGGCTTCCAATTCAACCTGAACGGGGCACTCTCAAGAGAACACACCCCAAAATAGAAGCTGTGCTTCGAGTGAACTGGGTTCTGCCAAGTGGTCGGTCACCCTCAAGCTTTTCGCTTGAGGCCGACGCCTGCCTGCCCTCTACTCAGTCGGTGCGCACGCCCCAGCACCCGGCATTGCCAACGCGCGGCTGCGGAAATCGTCGGACTCTCAAACCGTTGGTGGCCCTTCAAACGGGTTCCACGAACGCCGAGTTGGCCAGGCACATCCAGCTACACTGCGGTGAAGACGCACCCTTCAAATGCTGAACTCTCAAAAGCAACCTTCAAATGCTGAACGCAACCTTCCACCTTCAAAAGCAAAAATGTTGGATTGGAGTAGTGCATGGAATGCGCAGCTGGAGTCCCGGATCCAAGCTCGAGCCCGAGTTAAACTGTCGTGGCCCTCCGGGGAACTTCCCTTGGAACTTCCCAGACGAAGCAATCCAGGCGGACCGGGGCCCGAGGGCAACTCAAAAAGTTCGGAGCGCGGCGTCCGAGCGGCAGAGGTTTGCCACAGAGCCCCGCCCGAGGGGATGACAAAGAGTTTCAACGTGGCCCCCGCGGTGTGGACTGGTGGTCCGCCTGACTGGTTCCACTGTTCCGGGGGGGACCCTTTTACCCCCTTTTTGGGGGAGGGCTCTCCTGCTAAGATGGACTGGCTCATCTTGGTATGGATTGGCCATAAGGGTGGCATTGCTCATCTCGAGGTGAGCCCTTCAGAGTTTTGGGCACTTATCCAAACAGTTCCAGCCCGTTTAAAAGGGGGATGTGTGCACGTATGTCACTGTGTGTCATTGCTGTTCCCCAAGTGTCCCACTAGTGACACACAGCCATCTGATTCTCCCAAGGAAACAGCAAGCTATTTGCAGCTGTCAAGTTACTTGCCCCTTTCGGCCATGTGGTTTTAAAAGGACCCTCCAATAAAAGTCGAGCTCTCGATTTCCGATTTTGCACGCGGCCACATAATTGACCACCTCCAGTCGCGTACTTTGGAGAACCAGGCTTCCGCTGTAGATACCTCCGTGTTTCTCCAGGGTTGGCATCATACCCTCAAAAAGCGGGTACCGGTATGTGCAGTCTAAGGTTGCCCGCCAGTCCAAACCGCAAGGTCGCACTCAGGCGCATTCCGCACAATCCATGGCCTCAGCTTCAGGCATCTGCTGAGCCTGGCGTCATAGGCGTCAAGGCGCCTATAGTCGCTTACAGGATTTCCTCCAACTGGATGTCTTTGGTTTCCAAGATTCTGAGCAACATCCTTTATATAGTCCTGGTGGTTTTTTTGTTGTTTGCCTTTTGTGATCATTCAAAGGTCGAAAGCTTCCATTTCTTTAACTCCTCAAACTCGGCAACATCCCACGCCGGGCTTGCAAGCCCCGAGGCGTGGCTCCGACGTCTCGGCGCCAACGAGAAAATTGCTTGAGCAACAAAGAAAACAAAATATCAACGGCTGGCTTCCTCAATAGGATACATTGCAAGTTACCTTCAACTTAGATCACTCAACACAATCTGGGAACTCCTGGCCCCCGGTGTCTGGAAAACCAAGCAGTTTAACGGTCCAATTGCCTAACTTGTCAGATTGATCTCTGAACAAGGCTGGCAACAAATGCAGACTGCCCTTCATTAGTGCATACATGGATGGCAAACAACAAAGCTGTGGATGAATAGTTAGCAGGACGTGTTGCTCTGCTTGCTCTCAACGACCCCTCAGAAAATACGCACATAGACAAAGCCGGCTAAGTGCATGTGCGAAGTAGCAGCTGACTGCACTTTCAGGCACGATTCTGAACATTGCAAGAAGTCCGCGCCTCGAGTTTTAAAGTCATAATCGTGTGGGGTTCTCCAAAAGATACATCAAAAACAAAATAAGCTCAGCCCAGTCAGCCAGTAAATACGATTTTCCATGTGGCCAACATGTGCCCTTCAAACGTGAAGTGCACGGGGTTCTGAGCAGCCGCGAGTACCCTCTTGCAGCAGCTTGCTTGACAAACCAATAAGGTTGGGGATTCGAGCTCGTTGGCTCGCTACTGAGTAGATGGTTTACTATCTTTGGCTCCTTGACTCCCCACGTCCCTGCTGCAAGTGTGAGGATGTTTAGGCTAAATCAATGATCATACGAAAATGATGCGTACAATCACCTGGCCCCCGCCCCCTTCTCCCCAAAACCGGAACCGACGGTTTTTCAGCGTCGAAGCATGCGAAGCCCGACGCCCGAAGCCGCTTCGGCGCTTGGCGCGCCTTGTGGCTCAGCAGTAGGGCGCCCAGCGCCAAACCGAAGCCCAGGGTGGGTCTCTGGGCTTCGCTCAGCAACACACAGAGCTGGCCCAGCAGCAAGGCGCTGAAGCAGGTCACCTGTAGCCACGGCCCGTGGGGAAACCTAAAGCTTTTGGGGAAGCCAAAAGGCATGGGAAACCAAAAGGAAAGCCTGTGTAGGGAAACCAAGCGGGGGTTCACGTTCAAATGATACGATCCCAAAATGGTCAACCTAGAGGGTGTGGGCCCTATCAAACCCAAGCAAAAGGGAGATTTGACCATGGCAAGTATGATCCAAAATGGTTCGGCTGCTGAAATTCCTGAGGTCAACCGTGTTGCCTGAAACAACGAACCCCTTTCCTTTAAGGGCCAACCAAAACAGGGAGCACTTTCAGGACACCCACATATGTGCCATGGTAACTGTCCTTTGTGGGCTATGGCGAGCGATGGTACTCTTACACATGGCTTTCTCTGAATACCCTAAGGCCCTAAGAGATTGATGCCCGTCACCAACCCCAAGCCGAGCGGACCCTTTCGCATGCATCCGAAGGGGATGGTCAACTACCAAGAAGTGTTGGCGCCTGGAGCAAAGAGGAAAGCTCCATGCCAGCCAACGTTGAAGAACAACGCACAAGCCTTGAGGGATGGAAAATCATACACCAGTGCTCACCGAAGAAGCAAACACCTGCTGGAGAATAAAGCAACCTGCAAACGCCTTGTCTCAACATTGCGGCACGCAACTGGTTGGAGGGAATCCAATCCCACAAGTCCCCAAATGGGATTTTGGCTTTCCCTAAAGGGTCCAAAGGGCCCCCACATTTGACATGAGCTCATCTTTCCCAATCCCAAACACCTCTCCTTGCCTTCCGACCTTCGCTGGGGCTGTTCGCAAAGGCTGCCGCGCAAGAGCTTCGTCACCAAACCCCTTGATTTTGGGAAGGTCACCTCAAAACAAACCCGGGCCCTGACTTTTGGCGGTCCAACCCCGACAAGTGCTGTTGTTTTCCTTCTGGCTTCCCTTTCAACCAAGCAACTCAAAACACCACCACACCCCATATGAGTTTCTCAATATGGTGCCCGTTTTTGCTCCACCCATGTGGTGGTGACCCCCGTTTTGGTACCAAAAGCAAACCAAGGACGCCCAACCCCCGACGTCAGCGTCCGTCCAAGGCGCCGCGCCCAGACGTTGCACCAGGGCCTCGAGGCTGCGCTTCCCCAGCAGCGCCCACAGCGCCAGCAGCGCCCCCAGCGCCGCGGAGGCCGCGGGCGGGGCGCCGAGCGCGAGGCCGCCGTCCAGGGCGAGGAAGGGCAGCAGCAGCACGGCGCCGCCCAGGTTGCAGCAGGCCAACTGACGGAGAGGCGAGGCGAAAAGGTTGCGGCCCCTTTCAAACCCGCGAACCGGTGAGCCGTTTAAAGGCCGTGAAGGAACATGGACCAAAAGGGGCGTGACGGGGGGGGGGAGGGGGGAACCAAAAGTGTGTTAAAAGGGGGTTTTCGCAAAGGTTGGAGATAGGAAAAGCCCAAATGCAGGGCAGTTGCGGCCATTGGGAGGTGGCAGCATCCAGAGATCTTCATGGAGTATACAATACCCATTGGAACATGTAAGTTTCAAGCGCGGAATCACTTGTAAAGGCCAAAGTTATTTCCCTTCTCATTTTTTTCCGAGCTTTCTTTCTCACTGGAACCCACCTCTACTTCATGGAAGCAACTCCAACCTGACCAACCAGGTATGAGCTCAGCATATCGGTTCTAGTTGGAATCACCCTTGGGTGGGTTTTTTTGAGGCTAGT